GCCTGCCCTCAGCGTAGCCGCCAGCCCGCGGCCGCACCTGGAGCATGTTCGTGCTCGTGCTTCTTGAGGTGCCGGTCCAGGTTGGTTTGCTGCCCGAAGCAGCGGTTGCACAGGTGGCATCTGAAGGGCTTCTCCTTGTTGTGGATGTTCCGTACATGCCGCTGGAGGTTGGAGGAGATGCTGAAGGAGCGGTCGCAGTACTTACACCTGCAAGACACACGTGTCTCAGAGGAGCCCGGACCCTGCCGCATGCACGGCTTCAGCCCCACCCCTGGCCTGGCGGAGACCCCGGTGCCCCCGTTCCCCGGGGCGCTGTTGCAGGCGGGCAGGCTGTGCTACAAAGCCCCGCGGCCCGAGGAAGAGGCTGTCCTCTGCCTACTGACACGAGGGAGGCGGGCGGAGTTGGAATGTGCCACCTGCTGCTGCAGGGGACCCTCTGGGCCCATGCCCCTGGGCATGCAGCACCCGAGACCCTCCAGAGTCTCCCGCCTCTGCGTCAGGGTCCCGCTCGGAGGCCCTGCCCCAGGGCACATGCTCCCAGTGGCCTCAAGGGGGCGGCCGTGCACCATGGAAAGACCCTCCTGCGGTTTCCCCGAAGAAGGAGACCCGCTCCCTGGCCGAGAGACCCCCACCCTGCATGCAGGCAGCTGGCCTGGACCTGGCCGCCTTTTAGTGGGTCCTCGGGCCTCAGCTTGCCAATTCATGAATGGGGGGGTTCGGGGGCTGCCCTAGGCCCTCTTCAGCATCTGTAACTTCCCGGAAGGGGAGGTGGGGGCTCCCTGGTCTCGCTGCCTGTCAGGACACTGCTGTTCTAGGGACCACACATGACCACAGCCTTCAGGTGAGGGCACCGCCAGCCCCACGCGATCCCTTGATTTCTACGCTCCTGTGCAGAAGGTGACCGCCAGCCCAGCTGTGCGCTTGGGAAAATCCGAACAAGAAGCTCCTTCCTCCAGACGCTTCAGTTGTGTCCACCTGAACATCTGTGACGGGAGCGGTGCCCCGTTGGGTGTGGGGTCTTGTGGGGGTGCAGCCTTCTCGACCCTGCTCACGGCCCCGAGGGCAGGAAAGGGAGGGTTATCCTCCCAGTTTAGGGAAATACCCACAACCAAGTAGCCAGAAGCGGAGAGCGCGCGCGAGCCTGGAGCTGGAGAGACGGGTGGCCCAGGGAGCCGCCTGCACAAGTCTGCAGACCCCTGTGCAGCCTTGCCGGGCACTGGTCCCTCCTGGTGGCAGAAGTCCAAGCCTAGGCCATATGGCTTCCTGGAGTGGCTCCTGCGGCTCTGAGCGCCGGGCCTCAGCTGTGTCCAGGTGCACACGTGTGTGCTGTGTCCAGGTGCACTGTGTGTGCTGATGAGCACACGTGCGCACACGTGTTGTGTGTGTGCGTCTGGGCTCCAGCACTCCTCGGGGCTGCTTCACTGGGCGTTAGAGGCACACGAGCCCAGGAAACACCGTCCATGTGCTCATTTATTTTCCACGTTTGAAAGCAAACGGCTCCTGCAACGGGACAGGGGGCAGGCAGGCAGAGTCCTGGCCCACTGAGTCTCCCTCAGGAGCCGGTCTACACAGCAGGTCCCTGCAGGGCGCACACATGGGCGTGCATGCTCTTCCAGAGGGGTGCAGCTTGGAAGGTGTCAGGGACCCGTCCTGAGTCTGGCGGCCGGGCATTCCCGCAGGAGGGCCCCCACCCACCCCCCGATCGCTCCAGCACAGAATATGGGCACTGGGTCTGGAGCTGCGCTTGAGGAGGGTATGGGGTTGGGCCAGCAGGGCTGTGTGAGGCGGGCCTTCGCTTGCTGCCCTGTGACACCTGCGCGGGCAGTCTGGACGGTCACAGTCCACCCTGGGAGCCCCCGAAGCAGGAAGCATTAGGCTCCCACCAGCCTCTAAGCCTCCGGGGCTGTTAGTGCTGTGCCAGGAGCCGAGGTTTCTCTGTCCTGAGGGGCAGCTTTGTGAACCTGTCCGGGGAAGCCCGCGTCCTGCCTCATTCCCCCCAGGGGCCTGATGATGGGTCCACAGAAAACAGGGAGGGCCCCCGCTACAGGGGCCCCCGGGTCTCCCACGGTACATTTCTAGAGCTTTTCTCATTCAGTTTCCGGAGCTTCTCGGCTGAGGCGTTGCTCACTCTGGCTTCCTCCACGGTTGGTGGGCGAAGAGCCGTCTGAGATCTTTTCCTGAACGGCTTGGGCCACCGTCCCTGGCCTCCTCCTGAGCAACACTCCGCCTTCTCTGCCGGTGGGCCTGGGTGCACCTGTGCTCGGCCCCGCTCCTCATTGGGCCGGCTAAGCTGCTTCCAGGCCCCTGGAGCCTGGCGCTTTGGTCACCGCCTCTCTTCCCACGTCTCCTGACGTTCACAGGCCCCAATGAGGACCCGCCGTCCTGGAAGCCTACACAGGTGCCCTTGGCTGTTTTGTCTCGGCGTGCTCGGGGACGGAGGCTTGAGCCCTCCACACTGCGGGATCAGCTGTGCTTGGGTACCCGGTGACCTGGTGCTCCCTCACAATGGTCCAGAAAGGAAGGTTTTTACGTCCCAGGACGCACCGTCTCATTCCGTCCCAGACAAATCCTTGCCCCCCATGGTGCCAGGCTCCCAGACAACTGTACTGCTCCTCACAGCAATCGCTTAGGAAGGGCCAAGTGCAAGGCCAAGCTGGTCTGGGTGCTCGCCCCCTGACCCAGACAACGGACCTCCCGGGGCCTGTCCACATGTGGGCTTACACACACCCACGCACAGCATCCCTTGCCATGTTTCCTTGGAAAGTCAGGGACCTTTTGACGGGCTCCACCTAATACTGCCGCATAGACTCTGAGCGGTGGGAGTTCTGAGTAAAAGACGGGGTTGGACAGGATTGTTTTTTGTGACCAGAAATGGAGTTCTCTTTCCAACGTCCATGGGGCTGGAGAGGGGGTAAGGGGGAGCTGCACGTTCGATTTGCTCACAGAGAGACCTGAGTGTGGCCCTCTCCTGGTTTTAATCTGGATAAACGGCCCAGACCGAGAAGCCCATTTGAGATTTAGGGGAGCAGTGAGCCCTGGGCTTTGGGGGGGCGGAGTTCTCAGAGCAGTTGGGATTTGCGTTGTAACTACACTGAACAAGTGGCTAGTGAAATTTATGGCCTCACTGTGTAAAATGGCGCGGCGTTGCACTCTCTGTGGCAAGGAATGACCGGCCGGCCCTGGCAGTGTGCAGCCGAGGGCCTTGAGAGGACCTTGCAGTGACTGCCCCCCCCATCCCCTGAAGCCAGCCAGGGGGAGGCCCAGCACGGGGTGGGGGAGGGCGCAGTGTCCTCCCTGGGACCCAGCCGGGCCACACCAGCTGTCCCAGGGAGAAATGCTCCTGGTAACTGTCAATGCAGGGGAAGGGAAGGCAAGAGGAGAGTTTTGAAATCCAGCCCTGAAAAACAACTAGATAAAGCAAGGGGACAGGTTTGGGCCACCTGAGGCAATGGGAACAGGGCCTCGCTCACGGGGGGGGAATATAGAGGCAGATGGAGAGTCGTGTGTCCTCAAAGCCAAAACCTCACATCCCGCCAGGAGCATGCAGGCCAGCCCGCGAAGCGTGCGCCCAGAGTGTGACCACGGCCCTGCCGGGCAGTGTCCCAAGGGACTCCGGGCATGGCCGCCAGGAAGGAGGCAAGAAGCAGCCCCTTCATTCCTGAGTCCAGCTTTCTGTCTGTCCAGCCCCAGTTGTAATAAGTCCTACCGGCCACAGCTTTAGGGAATGAGAGTGTGTTTAACTGCACCTTGTCTCCCAACCTGAGGCCAAGCTCTCTAAGCCTGGAGAAGCCATTAGCTGAGGAGGACACCAGGCCCGGCAGGAGGGTTGACCTTCCCTCCAGGAAACACACCGTCAGTCACCCGAAAGGGTCTTTCTTTCCTGGAGTCAGGGCTTTGGAACCCATTCTGAGCGATTTTAGGTAATCTCAGGCAGAGACAGAAAAGGAAGAGTGTCACGCGTTGTCTAGTCTGTCTGTCACTCTGCAGCCCAGGACAAGCCTGGCCTCCTCCGGCTCTCGAGGGGCCTCAGGCGCACACGCAGCGCTGCACACGTGGGGCCGGCCCGGAGCCGAGCTCAACTCACGGGGGCAGGCAGCGGGCGTGTTGAATCGGCCTCACTGGGGGTGGGGGTCCTTCTCCTTTGGTGGCGCCTGTCCCCTGGACGGTAGGTTTCTGTGGATGGACGGACGGATGGATGGACTTTCCTCTTCCAATTTAAATTCTTCCAATGACCCGAGTGAGCCCAGACACCCCCTCCCCGTGATGGCAAAAGGAGTCACACGCGTCACACTCCCCATCTCAGGGCTGCCTTGAGCCAGATGAAGTCAGGATTTGCAACGCAAACTTTCAAAGCAATTATTGTTACACAAGTTGAAACTCACATATTGGAGAGAGCAAAAGAAATCAATGGTAATTAAATTCCTCTATAAACACAGCCCGACCCTCTGGGGGCTCCTATGAGCAACACTGTCCAGAAGGCGGCTCTCCTTTCAGGGAGGAGACCAGACCAAGTCATTCCTTCCTTTGTGAGCCTTTGTGGAATCGTAAGCCCCTTTTGGGGTGCGGAGGGTGGGGGGCCTGTGTGTCGGGGACGGGCGGGAGTTACCCAGCTCAGGAGATGTGCTGTCGCTCATCCGCCCAGGACACGGCCCAGTGGCGGTCGGGGATGCCTGTTACACCTCCGGGTGAGGCATGGGGACCACAACTCTGGTGGGCGCCCCACGTGGCTGCCCTTCCCAGGGACGGGGACGCCCACCGAGTCTCTGGAGCCACCGGGGGACTCCGAGCTCTATATGGCCAGAGTGTAGGAATCATGCTGCCAACTTAAAGCCATGCCAAGCTCCTTATTCCCAGCGGCTGCCGTTCACCAGACACACCCCGGAATGAGGTCTTGGCGTCTAAACCAGCGTTTTCCCTGATTTGCCTCGTGGTCACCACCACCTGGGTCTCTCATTAAAAATGCCAACTCTCAGGCCCCTCCTTGGGCGGGGTCCCCGAACCCGGGGTGTCACCCCAGCCCTTCTCCTGCCCAACAAAGGCCCCAGGGACCAAGGAGCAGGATCTGCTTCTCCCGGGGGCAGAACCGTCTGCTGGAGCAGCCGTGGACGCTGACTCTGGGCAACTCATGGGGTCTAAGCCTCTGACTCTGCATCTTTGAAACGGGGATGATGCCCCACTTGTGAACAGGAAAGGTGATGGCTCCCACACGGACTTGCTGAGTGGCTGCATCTCTGCAGGCAGAAGCCCGGGACTGAGGGGGCGGGAGGCGAGCAGACACATGGCTTCCATCCAGGGCTGGCGAGCGAATCCCTCAGGATACCCCAAGCCCAGGCTGGGACCCGAATTTGCACGGAGCTCCTTTTCCACTGCCCGCCCTGCCTCAGGCACCCACTCTGGCACACCAGCCACTATCTGGGAGTTAAGCTGGGAGGGGGTGGAGTGAGGCTTCTCCAACAGACCCCCGGGGCCCTGACTTTGGCCATTGCTGCTGTCAACGCCCTTCCCCAGGCAAGAGCGGCAGGTGGGAGAGCGGCACCCAGGCACCCCACTCGGAGTGGGCAAGAATCTTCAGGAAGCCCACTTGGGCACCTCCTGCCGAATCTTTATAACCCCCAGGGCCCAGGATGGCTGTGGGGTCAGGAGGGGGTTCCAGGGAGCCACCTGACACAAGGATGCTGGCTCCCACCCCCACCCTTCCCGTCTTACCAGAAGCCTCCCCCCACAAATGGGGCGGGCTCCTACCTGTATGGCTGTTCCCCGGTGTGCGTCCTCAGGTGTCTCGTGAGGTTTGCTGATCGGGGGAAGATCTTGCCACAGTACCTGGGGTGGAGGGGCAGGGGGACCGTGAGGCAGTCGCCCCACCGTAAGCTCAGGTGTCCACATGCTTTCCTGGCGTGGTTCCTCCAACTTGGGGTCTAGGCCCGAGGCCCCACACCTGGGGGGCAGGTGGGCTCGGCCGACTGTGGCCTGCTCGGGCTGTGCCCTTCCCTGAGCAGCCTGAGGGCGGCCGAGCTGGCTTGCACCGGCTAGGACAGGCTCACGCGGCTGGGGACGGACGCGGCACGTGTCTCTCCCCAACACCGGGCTTTCCACCTGACTCCGAGGGTCTCGGTTAAACGCCGACCAGCCCCTCTTGGCTTTGGGACCTCCGGGTTCTGACCGGCTAGGCTTAGGCTGCGTTTCCTTGTGCTCATGGAAACACAGCCTGCTGGGGTGGGGGATGTCCAGCCCCCGCCTCCCACCACACACACACAGGGGCAGCGAATGACCACCATCCGTGAACGGACCATTGACTGCCTCTATGCCGTGCTGTGGCTAGACGGTTTGTCCAGGAAGCCCAGGCTCACAGCCACAGCGTGGCACCTGTGGCCACCTGGCCAGGACCACCCCCCAGCAGGTCCACCTCACCTGCAAGTGTAGCGCTCCTTGCCCTTCCTGAGGATGGGGTCCGAGAGCGTGGGGGGCGGGGACCGGAAGTTGAAGGGGTGGTGGTGGAGGGGCTGCAGGGAGCTGCCCGAGTCTGCCTTCATGGCCGCGAAGCTCTCCAGCTTGTCCGTCATGGTCTCGATGGCTGACATCTGCCGGCAGGACAGTGGGAGAGACGGTGGGCTCCCCTGAGGAGGCTGGCCTCACCCCCCCGGGCACCCGAGGGTCCCCCGGGACCGGGCATGTCCCCCGCTGGGCCAGGAGCAGAAGCTCGTGCAGGCCTCAGGCTGTGGGTGCAACCAGCCGTCTCCCGGCTTCTAGGCCACCCGGTGGATACTCTTTCTGCGGCCAGCCCTGCACCCGTCCTTCCCCGGAAGCCCCGAGGCAGCCCAGGGCCCAGGCTTGGGGAGCCGGAGCCAACCTTCGCCAGCCTGCCTCTCTGCCCGTCGGGGGGCAGGTGGGGTGGGAGGCAGGCTCCGGCCTCACGGTGACACGTCCCCTGATCTGGAAACCCCCCAGCACCGCCCTACTGGCCTGACCCCGGCCAGCACCCTTGGAGGGCTGGCTCCGTTTAAAGACAGAATCACATCCCGCTCTTCTCCTCTGTCTGTCTGTCTGTCTCCCTCTCTCAAAATAAGACAGCTCCCTGCCTCCTGGTTAAAAGCGGCCACGGGTCTGGGCAGCGCCGTCTGGTGGCAACGGGTCATGATTGCAGGCAAAGTTCTCTGGGAGTCCAACGGCCTGGCCCCAGATGCTGCTAACGGAACCTCCAGAGGACGAAACCCACGTGACACAGCACGGGACACGGTGACATGGACCGGAGGACCCACCTCTCCAGGACTTGGAGGTCCCAGGTGCTTGCCTGGGGAGGATTCGAGGGTGCGGCACTGGCCATTTCCACCCGGTGGGCAGAGTTGTGATGGGAGCCGCAGATGGCGCCTGTCCCCGAGGGCTTGGGTTTGGGGACAGGACAGGGCAGGGGGTTGCTGTGCGGCTCTCCATGCCCCCGGGAATGCCTGTGCCGTCCTCAGAGGCACGATGCTGCCCGCGTGCGCTGCCCGCCCTGTCGCCGCTGACGGGCAAATGGGAGCTGCCTCGCCCCTCGGCTGCGGCCCCTTCACGGCCGGGACGAGGGGGGCCCAGGTGCGAAGACTGCTGTCCGCCTGGCTCTGCTTCTCAGTTTTAGCCGCAGCCTTGAAAGTTTCTGGAACTCTCCACACAGAGACTCCCTGGAGTTCCAGAGGTGGTGAGGGGCCGAGGCCCGCCCTGCACCCCAGGGCTGCACACACGCGTGTCAGGCCTCCCCAACCAAAGGCCCTGGCAAAGTCCCGCCTGGCACCTGACCACCGCAGGCTGATGTCCTAACTAGGAGTGACCCCGTACTTTGTAGAGGCCATCAGTCATCGCGCCTGAGTGGTGGCCTGACCTCGGACCACTTCATTAGGTGACTTCCTAGTCCTCCTCCCCTCTGGCCCATGGGCAGGCCTGGGGGTGGCAGGGCTCAAGGTGGGGTAGCAGGCAGGAGGGACAATGGGCCACCGGCCCCCTGCCAGGCCTCCTCTCCTCAGGCCTGGGTGGGTCTCCCCGAGGCCGGTCTGCAGGTCCGGCCTGCCCGGCCTGCTCCGCCTGATCAGATATTCCCGGCCGAGCTCCCGCACAAACACAAACACAGGATGCGCCTGGCGGGCTTGTCAGCTTTTTCCAGCCCGACCCGAGGAAAATCGGGGGAAGTTATTAAGCTAAGCCCATGGTCCCAGCGAAACAATGGGAGGCGCTAAGTTTAGCTGTGAACCCAGGCAGGGGGCAGGTTTCACAAACTGGGGGTGTGTGTCCAAGGTGGGAAACACCGAGAAACAGAACAATGCCCCAGTCTGGAGTCTGGTTCAGGCCATCCCACAGTTCAGCTCCCAGGACCCCCAAGTGGGGTGGGGGAGGCTGTGGCTCAGGGGCGGAGGCGGGGCCCCACAGAGGGAGCACAGGTGAGCCCTCGGGCAGGAGTTGGGGAGCCTCTGCCCAGCTCTGCTGCTCATCCTTGCGTCTGCAACATCTCGGTGCCTACGCCCCGGGGGGGCAAGGCCGGGCAGTGGACGGTGTGCCTGCAGGCAGGGTGTGTGGCCACTGCCCAGACTTGGGGGTTCTCTTTCCCAGACCCCCAACCTTAGTCTTGGTGGACAGCCCTGACCCCCAGCGCTGCAGCCGTGGGGGAGGAGGCTGCTCCTGCCCACCACCTCCTGGGACCCTCTCTCCTTGGGGCCAGTCCGACCGCTTCTGTCTTGTTCCGCATCCCCCATGCCCCCCATGCCCCCCGTGCTCAGAACCCCGCCTCCTGGTTGTACGTAGGTGTCCTGCTCACACCCATGCCCCCCGCGTCTGGCCCCTACATTCCAAATTCTTGGACTCCCTGCATCCGAGCTTTTGCCCACTGCTTTGTTGATGCTCACTGCCCCTCCGAGAGCCCGAGCCGTGGGTCGGTGAGCGCTCCCATGGTCTGGGGTCTTTGGCCACCTCCGGGGGACCCATGGGGCTGCCCCACAGAGCACTACCCTCCTTCCTCACACGTCCTGGCCCTTCTCACCCTCTTTGGCCTCTCAGTGACCCATAGGGGCTACAGGGAGAGAAGCCCCCTGGGCATCTGATGGGCAGGGAGGCTGAGGCCCTCCTGGATGTACGCTCAGGGCCTGTGCCCTGCACAGACCTGCCCGCCTGGGCAGCCCGCCTGGAGGGTCCCAGAATGCGGGTCCCAAGGCATGCCCTCCCAGGTGGCTTGGCCCCCCATGGGTCTTACCTGGGGGTGGAAGAGCAGTGGGGACGGCCGCAGGTACTTCTCCTTCAGGACTCCCACGGGGTCCGTCACCTTCCGCTTCTCTACCCTGCTGGACAACAACACAGAGGGTTACGTACCTCACCGCGCCGCCCGGGGCTGCGCAGGGACCGTGCCCACCTGTGCCCCCCAGTCACGAGGCAGGGGCCCCTGCTTCTGGCCCCCGATTACTGTGTCTCACCTGACAGTGGGGGGTGTCGTGATGGAGCTCGCCTGCTCACCTCCACGGCCCCTGCCACCTGCCTGAATGCTCGCTCCACGTCCTCTAGGTGCTCCCCAGACTCCCCCAACCCCCCCAGCCGTCATCCCGGGGGTCTCCGGGACCTCCCCATGGCTGCCAGGTAGGGTCTACCTAAACACTCGAAATGGCTGCTGGAGAGGACAATTCTAGAATATTCTCCAAATGCTGCTGACAACTCTGTTCCTCACAGAGCAAGTGGAGAAAGTGGCCGGGGTGGGTCCTGAGATCCCTCCGCTCTCCGTCTCCCAGCAACGCCAGCCTCAGTCCCCTCGTGGCGGCAGAGATTCCCAAAGCTCTGTCTGGGGAAACTTGCCGCTTCTCCGTCCGCGGGCGTGGCCCCTCTGAGCACACCCCGCACCAGCCGCTCCCGTTTGGTCCACGTGAGGGCCTCACTAACGCACAGCTGCCCACCAGGGCCTGGCTGGGACAGCGACCAGGGCAGGACGGGGGCGGGGGGGGGAGGTACGGCGCAAGGAGAGGAGAGTGAGCTGTGGGAAGACAGCACAGCCCCCCAGGGAGCATCCCCTCGGGGCCTGGGAACCCCACCGGGCCCCCAGCCTGGCCCAGGAGGGAGAGGATGAGGGGGAGGGTGCGACGGGTCCCCTCCTGGAGAGGCAGTGTTAATTGTGTGGGGAGTTGGCTTGGAGGGCATCTTGCTCTGAAGGGCCTCCCCAGCGCCCCGTTCAAAGCTGGGCTGTACGGGACTCGGCCTTTCGGCAAGATGAGCCTATAGCAGGGGGTGCCCCACCGGAGGGCCATGTGGGTCTGTGTCAGCTTGGCCCCTGAGCAACCAAGGCCAGCTGGCCCCAGTGGACCCCTGGTGGGCATGTGTGCAGGGTGGCCAGCCTGGCGGTGTTAGGGTTCCTTGATCCTGGGACATGGAGGATGGGGGGTTATGCGTGTGAAGGGGGAACGGGATCCAGGGCCTGGCCTGTGGGGGGACGGTGTGAGGTTTTCCTGGAGTCACCCAGGAGCGGAGGAGGCCCTGACCCCTAGCCCCAGGGCCCAGCCTGTTTTCGAGGAGTTGTGGTCACTCACAGCTTTGCTTGGGGAGGGGCCTTGTTTATCTTGATGGGCTTGGGGGTGCAGGGAGACGGTGCACTCGAACATCTTGCTGGTGTTTATGGGCAAAGTGGGGGCCCAGGCATCCCCTCCCTCAGCCCATGGACCCTAGATCCAGTGGCCAGAGCCGGGGACACACTGGGTCTCAGAAGACCCCTGAGCGGACGTGCCCTTCTTGGCCTCACCATCTGTTCTTCCAGCTTCCAGAAAAAGGCTCATGGCTCTGAAGCAAGTGAGAGGGGGCAGAGGGGCAGAGTGAGGGCCTGGGGAGACAGCGGGGAGGTCAGGGACTGAGCCGCAGGAAGTTAACCGAGAGCCTGCTGATTCCAGCTCTGCAGCCTGAGGGGAAGGTCCCCCGTCTCGGGCTCCAGTCACTGTCCCGTTGTCTGCACAAGGGCTGTGCATCCCGTGGGGCACTCTGGGCCTCACCTGGGGCTCTGGGGAGTCTCATTTAATGGTCAGGCACGCCCTAGGCCTTTTGACGGCCATGTTTGCCCCAGAAAGCTAAGGAGCGCCTTTGGCAGGTGACTCACAGCTCCTCCTCGAACCTCTGCTCAACTCCCTCAAACCGTCTATGGATGGCGTGTTCTGAAAGAAACACCTAGAGGGGCATGTTCCCTGTCTCCCCTGATGATGACATCAGGCCCTGGAGGGAAACAGGACGGGCTGCAGACACAGGCGGCCAGGGCCACAGGGGCTGAGTGCAGAGGGTAGGACCCGTGAATGGCCTGGCCTCCCCCTGCCGGGCTGCTGTCTTGCTGGTATCATTCTGTCCCACGTGCACCGTCAGTGGACCTGGGCTCCTCACCCGCACACCTGCCACCAGGCTGCAGCTGGCCCCTTGGGGAACGCAGGCCGCCTGCTCCCGTGCTCCCTGGACACTGGGTGCACACGCACGTGTGTCTGCACGCGTGCCCCGGGCACGGCCCCTGCACCTCCAGGCCTCCCGTCCAAGGCCCACCACGAGCACAGCCCTCTCTCCTCAAGGCTCAGCCGGCCCAGTACCCGCAGGATGCATGTGAGGGGGGTCGGACCCCTCCCACCTAATAAACCCCCCCCGATTCAAAGCCCAGAGACTGGGGAGGGGGATTAAATTGCTCCCCCCTCCCAGGAGGGCTATCAGAGGGGTGGGTGCTGATTGTTTGCAAACCCTCTGGAGCTTCCTCCTCCTCCTCCTCCCCCCAGCCGCCCCCCCCCCCGAGACCAGCGGCTCCTTCTCTGCTCTCCCCTGGGCCACCAGAATCCCCCCACTGTGGCTCCAGGGGGAGGTGGGGGCCACCAGGGCAGCCTCGGGGAAGTGCAGGTGCTGGGACCAGGGGACAGTTTTGCAGGAGGCAGAGTTGGTCCAGAGAAGACGGCTGGAGACATCGGGGGGCCCGCGTAGGGTCTGAGGGGAGGCTGGGGGGTCCCAGTGGCTGTCGGTCCCACTGCCCAGCCAGGTCGAGGCCCCTTTGGGAGAGCAGGTGAAGGTGGGGCGTGTTAATACCTGTAGATGGGGTCCATGAAGAAGGGTGAAGGCTTGGCGTAGTGCAGGGCCGGCTGCTGGGGCAGCTGTGCCGGGCACGCCTTGGGCAGCCCCTCCCCGGCCCCCAGCTTGCGCTCCCCGTAGATGTGGTTCTTGCGGGGCTCCCGCCCCCCTCCGTTCTGGCCAGCTCGGACGCGACTGCCGATGCTCAGGTCCAGCGGCTGCTCCTCTCCGGACACCGGGGCCGGGGGCGCCTTGGGCACGGGCAGCACGGGCTTGGCCTCTTTTGGTTTGGTGGTGAGGTCAAAGGGGGACTCGGCGCTGGGGCCGCCCCCCTTGAGGGCGTCCCGGGGCGACCTTGGCTCGGCCTTGACCAGCAAGTTGTGGGCGAGGGAGCGGTCCGCGAAGGGGCAGAGGGCTGGGGGGAAGTTGGGCAGGAACTGGAAGGGGAAGACGGAGTGGTAGGGCAGCGAGCCCAGCTTCTTCTCCTGCATGCCCACGAGGCCGGGGCCGAAGTACTTCTCGGCGATGGAGGCGATGGCCTTGATGGAGTCGCCCGCGGCGCCTGGGGCCGTCAGCAGCTGCTCTTCGGGCGGCGGGAAGAAGGCGTGCGGCGGGAAGAAGACCGGCACCTCGCCCGCGCCGTCCGGGGCCCCCGGGGGCGCCGCGCCGCCGCCGCCGCACTCGGGCTTGCCCTCCGCCGCCTTGCTCTTGTCCTTGGCCTTGTCCCGGTCGCTGTCCGCGTCGCTGTCCAGGTCCGAGCCCGAGCCTGTGGTCGTGTCCAGGTCGGTCCCCGTCGTGGTGTTGACGTCCTCGAAGTCACTGCCGTCCGACATGTCGCTGCCCCTCGTCTTGAGCTTCTCAGTGTAGGAGTCCCCCAGGCGACGCTCGAACGTGTCCTCAGGCCCTGCGGCGGCCGTGGTGCCCTGGCCACTGTTGCCCACAGCAGAGACGAGGGGCAGCGCCGGGTTCCCCAGGGGGCTGGGGAGCTTGGCGTCCTGGGTGTGGTTTAGGGGGCTCTTGAGCAGCGGCGTGGGAGGTAGCAAAGGTGGCCGGGGGTACAGGGACGGGGGGAAGAGACTGGGGAAGCCCGGAGCGAGCGCGGGGAAGGCGGGGGGCGCTGCCGAGAAGGGCAGGCTGCCCGGGTGCGGCCTGGACGGGAAGTACTCGTTGAAGCCCAGGCTGGCGTGGTTGAGGTTGGGGGCGGGCTTCGCCTTGTCCATCATGGGGCTGGGGGTCAAGGGCAGGCCTGGGGCGAAGATGCCGCCCGGCGTGTAATGGTTCTTGCCCTCACAGAAACGTCGGTGCTTGTTGAGGGAGGAGGTAGTGCTGAACATCTGCCCGCAGTCCTTGCACTTGATCTGCGTGCGGCAGTCGGCGTGCATCCGCTTGTGCCGGCACAGGTTGGAGAACTGCGTGTAGGACTTGTGGCAGACCTCACCTAAAACATCAGCAGAAAGCAAACACAAACACAATATGAAATTACCAGGAAACCCTCTGGCCGTGGGGGCGGGGGGGAGGCTGGGCCCCGCGATCCGGAGCCCTCCGTGCTTGTGCATGTGAGCACACGAGTGTGTATGTGCACGCAGACACGTCACACTGTGTGTGTGCATGCCGGCATGCACATGTGTGTAAGTGTGCACACGCATGTGTCTGCATGCACACTTGCACACGTGTACACGTACCTATGGGCACATGTGTAAGTGTGCACATGTATGTGTCTGCACACATGCTCACACACCTGTGTGTACACGTACCACGGGCATATGTGTGTGTGTGCATGAGTGTGCATGCACGTGCATGTCATGTGTGTGCTGTGTCTGCATGTGTGCATGTCCGCACGTGTGCCTGTATGCGTGTGCACACACATATGTATGTGTGTGTGTGCGCATCCTACCCTGGGGCTGGCCTCCAGGGACCAGCAGATTGGTGAGGACCACCTGTGCCTTCCCACTTGGACAGATGTCACGTTTCTCAACTTCCCCATTGGAAGCTGGGGTACGTCTGCTCTTTGTGCCATTCTCCCCGGGAGTGTTTGTAACATGGGGGCCCAGGTCTTCTAAAATCACTCCCAGGGTGGACGAAGCCACAGCATGCAGCCAAGTGTGCACTTGCTCAGGCTCCCCCAGAGCTTCCCGCCACTCCCTGTCGCCCTCAGTGGAGCTGTCTCAACAGGGGAGAGAGGAAACACCAACCGCCAGATCAACTCTCCTGCTTTCTGTCCCGGGAGAGGGGCCCTCGGGGGTGACTGGCCCACTCGGGGGATTCTTAGGGAGTCTGGGCTTGGGAGCACGGCTCCCGGTGGCATGCGGTGGTCACCGTCTGGGCCTGGCTTGAAGCTGGGGGTGGGAGAGAAGGCAGGCAGGGCCGTTTGGAGAGGGGCTGGCTCCATGTTTAAGGGAAATGAAGCCTCCCCAGATTGGGATGAAGAAGCAGAGCCAGGCTCAGGCTGATGGGCAACGGCCTCTGCCCTTGACAGGAGGGGGTGGTGCCAGCTGGAGCCCAATGCCAGGACCCAGGGGCCCTGGGGACCCCACCTGGCCATTTCCCCCATGGCCTGTGAGTTGAGTGTTGTCAGTGAATCACAAGCTTTTCTTTCTTTCTTGTTTTTCTAACCAGAAAGGGAGGAACACCCACACACACACACACACACACACACACACACACACACACATCTCTCGGCAGGACAATTTGCTTCCTAAATGCAGCCCGGTGGAAACAATGAATCTAGCCTGTTTCTTGTTCACCACAAATCCTGACTACCTGGTGCCCCGCTATTCGCTATTCGCCCTGGCACTCTGGCCCCACATTACCGAGTTCTTTCGGCACAGTATCTATTTATGTTAATGGCCCTGCCTTCCTGTCATCCATATGGTGGGACATTTTCAAGGCTGAAGGGGAAGAGCATGACCTCGATCTGATGATTTCTGCCCTCTTTGGGAAGCGGCTGATCTAGAGGCGCCGAGCCACAGAGTCGGTCTATAAATACACTCAGGTCACCCACCTGGCCTCGGGGGAGCCGGGCCCTACCTCAGCTTGAGCCTCGCTGGCCAAACACGTGACCCCTCGCGGCACCCCCAGCTCAGGTCCCCAGGGCCTAGTTTGCACCTGCTGCCAACCTAGCTTGGAAAATGGTCTTGACCAGGCCCCCCACCTGGGGCAGCTCCCAGAAGGGCCCCTGGGCCAGCACCACGCCTGGTCGTGGGGAGCCTGGGACCCTCCGCGCCCACCCCTCCGCTCACGGGATGGAGGGGTCTGGCAGAGATGCTGGGGTTACAGAGAGACGCCTGGGAGACGGAGGCCCCCAGAAAGGCAGTCCTGGGCCCGGAACAGGAGCAGCCAGCTGGCTCAGAGCCAGCAAAGGGAGGTGGCTGCCCACAGGGGCCGAGGAAGGCCTGGGCAGCCCACGGCGGCCTGGACATGAGAGCAGCGCCTGGCAGAGGGTGCCCGCAGGCCCTGGTGGGATGCAGAGGGGCCCTGACCGCTCACAGCAGTTTCCTGTCCTTGTAGGGCAAGTGTGTGGATGTGCGCGCGCACACACACACTCTAGAGAAGGTCCTTTTATGGAGAGTGCCCACCAGGAGACTGACCCCCTGTGTGCCTGGATACCACCCTCTCGCACACCCCGGCACACACCCCAGCTCCCTGGTACATGAGGCACCGCTGGGAAGGAACTCTGCCTCGGCCGGGTGCTCAGTGAGGGAAGGGCTCCGGGGCTTGCAGCCGGGTTTTAGTGCAGATCCGAGTGTGCTGCGCATGCCCCCAGGTGGCTGCTGTCTGGGTACCCTGGAGACGACGTCACCGTGAGCCTGCACCCCTCCCAGCCACCCATCTTTCCTGCGAGGGGCGAGGATGTGTGCACCCTCCGCACTTGTTTGCAGAGCTGCTTTCCCAAGCCCAACACGGCCTTTTACCGTGGCCCAAAGCATCCTCGGCTGTGGCTTGCCAGGCGTGCAAAATCACATTTCACTTTCTGAAATCTTTGCCACCCTATCTGAACGACATGCCCATGCAGGCCACCTGGCCATGTTTGGGGTTTTCTCTTTAGCTTCACCCTTTAGCCAAAAACTGAGACACCCAGGCGAGCGTGCAGCACGGACAGGAGCTGGAGGGAGCACCCGGCAGGGCCGGGCTGCCCGGGCTCTGCTTGTCCACGCCAGGCATCTGCGTGGGCCGTGGAAACAGTGGGCTCAGACCCTGGCAGAGCGCAATGGTTCCTGGAACTTACGTTACTAAATACGCTCCAAAGAGACTTCACAAAACTTTGTGTCTAGGTGCTCAGAAAGGTAGTGACTTTTGAACTTCTGCACAATTTCCTGCTCCTAAGCTCACTTCAAAATTCCAAGCTCTATTTCATGCCCCACAGTGGGACCTCCTGGGACCCTCATGCACAGAAAGCAGGACATGCGTCTCTGGTCCCCGTCAAAGCCCCCCATCCCTGCCCCCACCCATCTTGCCGCTTCCTGACCCCTCCCAGAGGGAACAGGCCCTGCGGCACCACTGCTCCCGTCTCTCTCTAGAACCTGCCAGTGACTGGGGGCAGGGCACGTGACCCATGGGACACTGGTGTCTGGGTCATCTCCAGCAGGGGACTGGAAGCTTTGTTGCCATGCAACAAAGGCCAGACCAGCCAGTCGGCGTGTGGCCCCAAGGGTCAGGGGTCCTGCACCTGAACAGCACTTGGAAACTACCCCAAGCCCAGGCTCCAAGCATCCAGTTACTCCTCCCACTGATGCCATGGGGTCCGAGGGGTTCCAGCCCCCCAGCCAGGCTCAGGGGCCACAATCCCACTCCACAGTGTGGCCATGAGCACCTGGTCACTTAATGTCCATGAGCCTCAGTTTCCTTCTCTGTCAGGTGTAGACGGTGTGGTCCTTCCTTGGTTGGATTTTTGAAGAATGCTATGAGATAGTGTGTGTGGATGGATGATGACTCTGCACAATCCATGTGAACAACCCTGCACAATCTCCCGTGAGATGATGACTCAGCACAATTCGTGTGATGAGTCAGCACGACCTCATGTGGATGATGACCACACACGACCTCGTGTGGATAGTGAGTCTGCACGACCTCGTGTGGATGGTGACCCTCCATGACCTCGTGTGGATGGTGACCCCGCATGACCTGTGTGGATGATGACCCCGCACGACCTCGTGTGGATGATGAGTCTGCACGACCTTGTGTGGATGGTGACGCTGCATGACCCGTGTGGACGATAAGTCTACATGACCTTGTGTGGATGATGATCCCAAAGGATCTCATGTGGATAATGAGTCTGCATGACCTCGTGTGGGTGATGACCCCACACGACCTCGTGTGGATGATGACGCTGCATGACCTTGTGTGGATGATGACCCCACACGACCTCGTGTGGATGGTGACCTCGCACAACCTCATGTGGACGATGACCCTGCACGACCTCGTGTGGATGATGAGTCTGCACGACCTTGTGTGGATGGTGACGCTGCATGACCCGTGTGGACGATAAGTCTACATGACCTTGTGTGGATGATGATCCCAAAGGATCTCATGTGGATGATGACGCTGCATGACCTCGTGTGGGTGATGACCCCACACGACCTCGTGTGGATGATGACGCTGCATGACCTCGTGTGGGTGATGACCCCACACGACCTCGTGTGGATGATGACGCTGCATGACCTTGTGTGGATGATGACCCCACATGACCTCGTGTGGATGATGAGTTTGCACGACCTCGTGTGGATGGTGACCTCGCACAACCTCATGTGGACGATGACCCCGCATGACCTCGTGTGGACGATGAGCCCATACAACCTCGTGAGGACGATGACCCCGCATGACCTCGTGAGGATGATGACAGTGCAAATCACATGAAATGATGACTCAGCACAACCTTGTATGACTAAGTCAGCACACTGCTAGGTAGAGAGGAATCTTCTGTGGCTTCCAAACTCACTGAGAATAAGATTCATGCCCCTGCGCTGGCTCACAGGGTCCCCAAGACCCGGCCCTGTGACCTCTGTCCACACGTCCACTATGCCCCCTCACTTACTCCCTCAAACATGGTGGCCTGAAGGCCTCTCTGCTCCCAGCCCCGTCCTGAGCACCCCCCTGTCCCGCAGGTACCCCCTTGGCTCACACCTGCCCTTCCTCCAGGCCTCTGCTAGAATGCCTCTCATTTGACAAGTCGTCCTGGCTCCCACTGTATTTACAGGGCCAGGACCCACCTGGGTCGACCTGAGCACTTGGAGAGCCTCCTAACCCTGCGCCACCACCTCCATGCTGATAGGCTGGTCCCATGTGCCGTTACTGCTCATACGGCTTAGCCTCTGTCTCCTGCGCTGCATGTAAGCTCTGTGATGACAGAGGCATTTACACCTGGCCCCTGCTGCCCGGACGGTGCAGGCTACACAGGCTGGGCTCCCTAAGGGCTGCTGTGGGGATGAGCAGAGCTCAGTGACTGTCACTAGGATTTCTATGCCTCCCAGAGCTCAGGTTGGGGTGTGAGTACAGGGGAGAGTAGAGGGAACAGGGGTGGAGTGGGCTGCTGGCTCCTTCTGCAGGACCCAGGACTGCTGAAACGGTCCTTCCCTGCCTCCTACCACCCACCTCTGGCCACTGAAGGGGTAAGCAAGGGGGAGGAACCAAGCAGAGCAGGAGGAGAAAATGAGGCCACAGCAAGAGAGAGGTAGGTCACAAGATGAGCAGGTGCAGCAGAGCCAAGTGGTGAAGAAGCGGTACCAGGAGGGGGTCCGCGGCCTGGGCTTCACCTGGCAGAGGATTCTGAGCAAGCAGGGGTCCTGCGAATGGGAGAGCCCAGGGATTGCATGCCTTGGCCTGACCTCTGAGCAACCCCCACAGAGGCCGGTGCGGGGGGCCAGGCTGGGGGACCACTTACATATGAAAGGTTTGACGGTGCTGTGAATGTGCTTGTGCTGCTTGAGGCCCGAGGACGTGGCGAACGTCTTCCCGCAGTCAGGGCAGGCGTGAGCCCGGGCTCCTACGTGCTGGGAGCGGATGTGGCGCTGCAGGTTGCTGGGGTCGGTGAACACCTGGGGGGACAGATGCCATTGCTTGCCCCCCCCCCCGTTGGCCCAGTTCTGGCCGCTGGGTGGGGCTCTCAGTGCTGCTCTGGCCCCTTCACTGAGCCTGGCCGGGAGGGGTCTCTGCGGTCAGGGTGACCGCCCTGGATGACCTCAGGGGAGCCGCTGAGCCTCCCCCCAGACTCTGTGTCTCCGACAATCATTCCCGGGGGAGCTGCGGTTAGGATGCTTGAAGCGGGAGCTCAGAACGCATTTCTAGGCCCAAGAGCTCTGACACACGGGCGGGGGCAGGATCCCACCGCGGAGAGGACAGCGTCTGGTCTCCCTGGCCTCCTCCCTAGCTGTGTGACCTGGCGCGCTTCCTTCTTCCCTGGCAAACTGAAGGACCCAAAGGACTTCAGGCATCTTATCGGCTCCGCACACTTCATCAGCATTTTCGTTGGGGGGGGGGTGCAGGCAGGAGCAGCAGGTGCGTGTGCATGTTACCTTCACGCAGTTCTCACATTCGAAGCGCTTGCCGCTGTCATGCGACATCTGGTGGCGGATGAGGTTGGACTTCCAGTTGAAGGCCTTGGGACACTGGTCACACTTGTACTCCCGTTCCTCTGTGTGCACAACCATGTGCTGCTCCAGGCTGCACGCGGACAGGGGACGGGGTCACTGGGGGCCTGCCTGCCTGCCCACTGCCTAGTGGCCACCAGCCCCCCAGCCCCCACTCAGAGATGAGAGTGCCTCTTGGCAGCAGGTCTGTCCACCTCCTCTCTGGACAGGTCAACAGGATGGAGGGGCAGAGACAGCCCTCCCACAGCACATGGGGAGGAAGTGGTGCCTGCACAAAGCTCAGGCCCTCATCCAAGACCACTCCTCCAGGCAGCCAGAGGCAGGGCAGGACCCCAGCTCACAATGCCTGGCTGCTCGTCAAGATGATCTTAACCTTGAGGCTAACCTTGGGCCTAGGAAAAGGGGCACAGAAACTTCCGACATTGCCGTGAGCCCCAGAGAGGGGGTGAGGTGCAGGAAACCAAGGCCACCCCTGGCCTCCCCGCCAGGCACACAGCAGGGAGGTGGGCTGGCGGTGAGCGGGTGGGTCTCCAACTGTGGCCTGATAAAGTGGGGAGCGCCCAGCTGCTGGGCAGGGGCGGCTGCACTTGGGTGAAGGCACAGCTCCTGACCCCCTCCTCTTGGGGGACCTCCTGTTTCCCCTCCTGTCCCAGGTGTGACCGTTAATCTCTGTGAGCAAAGCAGCAATACATCACGACCTGTTAATTACGGGGCCCAGCCATCCATTTACATCATTGAGCACTGGCAGATTGTATCTTTTTCCCTGTTGTTAATTGTGATTTATGTGTTTATGTAAAGAAAACACGGACCCTCTTGAGCAGCGCTTACCGCCGAGGGCCTCAGTCGGGATTTGCCCAAACGCTTATTCTCTCAGTCATCTGTTCGGGGAGGAGGGTTTCCCGTCCCCAGGGAGGCCATGGTGGGATTGGCGTCCGGTTCCCAGCAGTACCAGAGCCGCTTAGTGACCTGATGGGGCTTTACTCTGACCTTGTGAGGCCGTCCTAGAGACATTCTCAGAGGCCGGAGGAGGGGCCCGACTTGGAAAAGTCTTCAGGGTTCCCTGGAGCACTGGGACCTCAGTCCTGGCTCTCTCCCCACACAGCCCAGAAGGTTCATCTTTCCTCAGGGTTCCCATGGGTCCTCAGGGTGCCCACCTCCCAGGGGAGGGCCGGCTTGTGCCCGTGTCCTGCTGTCATACTGCGCCCATGCCTGTGAGGTCTCCCAGGACAGGTGGGGTCCATCCGTGGGAAGCAGAGGCAGGTGCCCGGGGTGGGGGATAAGGGACCCCTGGGTGGCCCTCTCCAGCCCCTGCCTACCGTGTGAGAAGGAGTCCTGTGTGTCCAGAGGGTCAGGTCACTCCCCAGATCCCCGGGCAGCAGGGTGCTGCCATCCCCCCATCCTGGTCTTGGACCCTGCTTCAGAAGTCTCCCTGGGGCTTGACCCTGCACATCCTGGGGCCTGGCCTGCATCTCTCACTCTGCTCCTAGCCTGTCTCCACAGCTGAGCCCTGCCTGCACAATGGTGGGGCCAGCAAAGTCTCTGCCGTGCCACTTGCACATCTTCTAGGGGCGGCGGGCTCGGACCAGGGGCCTGGCCTTCACAGCCAGAGCCAGGAGCCCCTGTGGCCTGCCACCACCAGCTCCTAGGCCACTCAGTCCCTGATGCTGGATGACTAGGGGTACCTGCCCCCGAGGGGTGCCACACTGGAGGGGGCCCTGTCTCCACCTGTCCCTGGAGCTCTCCGTGTGTCTGTGTGGACAGGGCTGAGGGGCCAGGACCGATGTCGGCCTTTCCCCGGCCTCCCTCTGTGCTGCCAGGCCCAGTGAGGCTGCAGGGGGGCGGGGGGCCCCGGGGGCCTGGAGGCTGGAGGAGGGGGCGGGGGAGGGGGAGGGCGGGGGGGGGCGGCACCTGTACTTGGTGGGGAACATCCGCTCACAGTCCTTGCACTCATGGGCTTGCTCGTCGCCGCCCCCGCCGCCGAGCCCCTCTGGCTTGAGCCCGTCACCCAGGCCCTCACAGAGCGGGGCCCCCACGGAGCCGCACGCGTACTTCTTATGGCGCCGCAGGTCCGGCTTGGACTGGAAGAGCTCGTCACAGGCGTCACAGCGGAACGTGGGTTCCTCTGCTGGGGAGACAGGAGGGAGGTGGGTGGGGAGCGCGAGATGGGGCCCAGGCCCCGGACCCGTGGCGGGGGGTGCAGGGGGCCCTGCCTTCCACGCGGGCTGTTCCTGCTTCCTTCCTGCCCCCGCTTCCCAGACCTAGGTGTGGTTGCCTCAGGGAGCTGGGGACCGCGTGGACCCCGTGTCTGCATCATCAGAACCGCCGAGAAGCCCTGGGCCCCACCCCGCATGGCAGGAGGGCCACCCTGGGCTTGAGGAGGCCCTGCACTGGAGAGCAAAGAAGGAAGCTGGCGAGCGCTTTGTTTATGAATTAGGAGAAAACATGGGCCGAGCTCTAATGCATCTCATAAATTACCTTCGCCAAGGTCAAACAAATTAAAGGGGGGGGCAGCTATTATTCAGTTTACGAGGCGGCATCCTGACCACCGTGCCAAGCCAAACAATCAGCTCAAAGCCATAAATTTCCCCCGGGGAGACGACCTCTGGGCCCATCCCCAGGTGACGGCCTAACAGCAGCTTCTCCCAGAGCGGGTGTCCCCCTCCCTGCCCGAGGTGGGGAGAGAACATGTGCAATAAAAGCTCCTGCACAAATGGATTAAAAGGTGTGCATGCGTGTGCTTGTAGCGAGTGTGGGAATGCACGTGTGCTTGTGCACAGGTGTATAACTGTGTAGGTGTGCATGTGTGTGTGGGTGAGCATGTGTGTGCACAAAGTGTGCCTGTGCATTTGAACATATCTGCATCCACGTCTGTGTATCTCTGTGGGAATGTGTAGGAATATTTGTGCATCTACACTTGTTCATGTGGGTGTGTATATATGTTCTCACCTGCATGTGTGTGAGTGTGCGTATGCTTCTGTATGTGGCTACACGTGTGAAAATTTGTCTTTCCATATGTTCACGTGTGCGTGCAAGCGTGCGTGGGCGCTAGGGCAGGTGTGCGTGCTGTGCATTAATGTTTATGCTTACATCACACATCTGAACGTATGTTTCGGTGCACACGTGTGTGCATTTGTGTGCCATATGCACGTGGGTGCGCCTGTTATGTACCCGCATTTGTGCTCATGTTAAGTGTGAATGCGTCAGTGCACATATGTATGTGTGCTTGTGCGTCACGTATATGAGTGTGCAGGTGTGTGCATGTTTTAGTGTGTGTTTACGTGCATGTGTGTGCGTCTGTGCAGCTGTGAAGGTGTGTTTGAGAGTGTGTCTGAGTGTGAGTGTGTGTGCAGGTGCAGCGCTGAGCTTTAGTGACCTTGGGCTGACTGCTGACCGAAATGGCCTGACCCCGAGGGATGTCAAAGCCAAGGAGGCAAGGACATAGGGGCAGGCGGAAGGGGGCTGCCCTCTGTCTCCTCTCATGTCAGAGAGACAGCCATAACCGTCTGAGCACCGAGGAAAGGGCGGGGGAGCTTTGCAACCTGGGCAGGGGCTTAGGGGAGAGGGCTGGGGAGAGTGAAGGCCACCTGCTCACGACTAGAAGCTTCCCTGAGACTATGCTGGAGGTGCCACTCCCGGTGTCTGGTCACACCTGGCATCTCCACCGGTGGGCACCCGGATCCCCCCTCCTCCCTGACACCATGAGGCAGACTCCATGGGAGCTGGCTCTGGGGTGCCCCTGGCTGGACCCCTAGGGCTTGGATGACACCCTCAGAGGCACAAATGTGATTTCTGTTCACATCTGTGCATGGAGGTAGGTATGTGGGTGCCAGAGAAGGGCTCTGGGGACAGGCCGGGTGGGCCCCTGTGCTGGTCCAGGCATCCCAGCCGGCTTGCTGCAGACGGCCTGCTGTCAAGGAAGTGTTCACTTGGAAGAATACAACACAGATGGGGAAAAGCAGCTCACACTGAGTCTGGCAGTCTGGGGCTGAGAACATGGGTTTGAGCCTCCGGGCTTGGAAGTCTCTGCCCCAAACATCTCCCAGAAAGGCCGCCCCTGGAGCTTGTCCCGGACCCATGCTGAGCTGCAGCATTGACGGGAGGGAGGCAAGGCCAGCCGGTCCATGCAAACCCCAGGCGCGGGGCAGGAGGAGACAGGGAGGGTGTGCCTGCCGACACCGAGGCCAGCAGCACCCAGGCAGAGCAGGGGCAGGAGGAATGGGAGCGGTGGGGCCCGCGGCCGCCTGGAGCACGAAGGCGAAGACTCTAAAACAAAAGCTATCCAAGCACGGGCCGGTCCCCAGGTAGCGGGGTGGAATGCCAGGCCCGAAGGCCAGGGAGGATGCACATCACAAAATAATCCCCCTGCAAGTCTACACAGCATTGCCTTTGAAGTAGGATTCGAGCGCGTGAACCCTTCAGGAGAAATGTCTCCTGGGAAAATAACGTGAACAGCCGTGGGGACACTCGAGGTCTCGGGAGCCCGCGCCCAGCCGGCACCGAGCTCAGAGCTTCATGCTGCTGGTGCATCGAAGGCATCCACGCGCACCCAGGGGGAGTCGCTTTTTATGCCCGCTTGATGACGGGTAAACGGAGGCCGGGGTGCTGGGAGAGGAGGTGGTAGAGCCGTGTAACCAGAGCCGTGGTGCCGGGCGGGGCCCGGGAAGCCGGTGGCAGAGTCCCAGCTTCCCGCCAGGGGCCCAGAAGAGCGCCAAGCGTGGCGTGTGCGCTCCGAACGGCCTGGCATTCCCCGCAGGCCCTCCTCGTCTTTAGAGATGTGGATTTCCTCTCCATCTGAGGACCGAGAACACCATCTCAGAACGGAGCCGGATGCCTCGACCCCACAAAGCTGCCCCTGTGGGTTTGTTCTGACTTCCTGGGGCCCTCCCACCACCACCGGCGCCGTGAGTCAGTTTGAAATGCCAGTCGGTAGTTTACTCTTTCTGGACCCGACTGGGAACAGTCACAGAAGTTGAAATTTGAAAACAAAGACAAGAAGAAAGGCCAACCCCACCCATCCATACCACCGACCAACTTAACTTTCTCAGTTTTGATCTGGAATTTGGACTTAAAATGAAAACTGAGCCCGATTCCCACGCTGATGGCATGGGAGGACATCCTGAGGCCGTGAAACGGACCAGGGAGATAACTGTCGCCCTCCTCCCCTGCCTCCTCATCCCTCCACGGACCCAAGTTTGCCCCGGGTGAAGGATGGAGCTGGGGGCTGGCCGTGGGTGAGCCTGGCCACCTCCCCCCCGTGCTGCAGTGTGGACAGGTGTCCCAGCATCCTCCACGCAGGTAAGGCGGGCATGCAGAACCCATGCCCAGGGCTCGCTGGATGCGCCACAAAGGATGCGCACAGCCCATGTGGTCCACTGCCCACCACAATAATTCCATATTAAAAAAAAAAAACTAAAAGAATATGTTACATTCTGGTTATATTGTGTTACATTGTATTATATGGTATTGTAGTAGATCACGTTGTTGTATTATGTTATGTTATGTTATATTATATTATAATCTGTCTCATATGCTTTATATGCAGTTCACTGCATCCTCTTGACTTCTTATGGGGGGGGAAGTTAACAATTTTGAGCCTTTCTCAAAAGAAAAGCATATTTGAATGGAAATGATTTTCTTTATTTTCTCCCAAGTGCAAGAAGCTTTCCTGAAAGAGAAATCTTTCCCCTCTCCACTGAGAGTAAAAACAAAATAAAAAGTCGCCGGAACTAATGAATCCGAAAGTGGCTTCCCTCTGCTCTGAGTCACTTGCAGGGAAATTGGAAGTGCATTTCTTTGCAAAGCTGCGGCTTTGAAAGAGCATTCCCAGGCTCAGACCCGCAGGCCCGGCTCGCTCTGCCCCCAGTGGGCTGGCTACCCGGGGCCTCCGTTTCTTCCGCGATACCTGAACATTGTCCCCCCACAAAGGCCCCTGTCCCCAACGGCAGCACACAAAAATTGTGATTCGAAACTGAACTCCCTCCATCTGAATCTGGTGGGGGGTCCGTGGGGCCCGCGGGCTGGGGCAGAAGCTCCATGTTCTCCCCAAACCAGACCGGACCCGGGCGTGGCAGCCCGATGTGGCGTGTCAGGTGTGTGCCTGGCTGTCTATCTGCAGTTGTAACAGAAAAATAAATCAGTGCCTAATGGCTTCAGAGAGCCGAGGGGGACACAATTATGTGGCATCTACATGCTAATCTACCAGACTGAGGCTCAAAAGCGCTCGAGAGCCCACTCCAAATTCCTGCCGTGATAAGGGGCCTCTGCATTTAGCTGGGGCTGGGATAAAAGATTTTTTATGATAATTATCTTAGTGAGGAACATTTTTGCATTTTCTTTCTGTGCGATTCCGAGTTTAGCTGGGGAGGGGGCGGCTGTTGGGGGGCAAGGGGGTGACCGCGACAGCAGAGAGTATGAAAAGTCAGACGTTTGATGCTGGACTATTATGTGTGGCAAGCAATTAGCCCACAAATGTTTGATGAATTATTAGGGAAATGTGGACCCAGCTTATTTGAGATCGGGGGCCGGGGTTGGGGGTGGGGGGGCGTGGTGGTGGATAGCAATCAAGGTTTTTAAAACCTTTTGGAAGAAAGAAGTTTCATTACACAAACGAAACCTCCTCGCCGGGTGCTCCCTGAGGTAAGTGGGTTTATCTTCCCGAGTTCTGCTGAGTTACCTAAGCTCTATAGGTCTTTTCAACAATTATTTTAAGGAAAATGAGACCATCCCCTCACGACCCAGACCTCAGCAATTTATTTTTCTTTTCTCGATGGCCTAATTGAAACCAAACTTCAGAGGCACGTACAGATAGGACCTGGCTCTGTGGCCTCTGGAGACATGGCCCACGTGGAGGAAGGACCCTCACTGCTGGGCCACGCTTGGGATCGTAAGGGTAAATTAAGGCAGAGGTCTCTGCGTCTGCTCCCAGGCCCAGCTAGGGCCACTCCCTCATGTGACATTATCAGAGGAACTTGCGGTAAGTGGCGTTAATCATTAAGCCTCTGTGCCTTTGGAGGGGAGGGAAAGAAAGACAGGAAGGGGAAACCAACCTTCCCCCTGCTCCAGCGTGAGTGGAATCACCAGCCCCCGCCCCCCAGGAGGGGAGGCTGCTTTTCTGCTCACTTGCGGGGTCTCATTCCAAAAAAAGACACCATGTGCTCGGCGGCGGCACGCAGGGAGTTAATGGATAGTCGTCCGCTGCCAACACAGAGCTCCTCGAATGGACTTAAAAATGGTTCCAGAACCCCAAGGTGAATGGCACATTGCTTCACAATGTGGATGAAGGAAAATAAATCCGCATTTCAGAAATCCTAGCCTCTTTGCAGCAGGAATTTTTCTAACATCCTCTGCGATGCACTCGGGTGTGGATGGGTGTTGGGGGAAGCGAGCCCACTGGACAAGCACCGAGCGGAGGGCAGTAGGAATGCTTTGGGTGGACAGCTGGAGGAGCTCAGCCACCATCCCTGCCCCTGGCGGACCCCCCTCAGCCCCCTGAGTTCCCTCTCTCGAAATCCGTTTTCCCTTAACCTTTCTCTTGGACTGTTTGCTGTTCCCTACGGACAGGCATGGCTTTCAAAGACTCACACGCCGTCACTGCCCTCTCTTAAATAAGCCCCAAATGTCTCCCATGGCTCTGGAGGGCGAAGGTTTCCAAGCCACAAAACTTTGTGTTTTTTGTTTGTTTTTTGTTTTTAAGTACTGAGGAGAGCAAACCATGCTGCTGCTGATAATAATAATATAGTTTAACAAATCCCCCCAGGATTCTACCACGGCAAAGATACAATGCCACACAACACCCATTCACTCCTATTGTCCGAAGGGCTATCTCGAAGGTGTGGAGCTTGTATAACCTGCAGATGCTTCAGCTGAGAGGTTGGGAGGGGGGCCTGGGGCCGGAGCGCAGGAGTGCAGCCCCCGTCATGCGGTGTGACGTGATGGGGAGGCCTCAGGAGCGCCTGCAGGGCGGGGGGCTTACCATCCAGACTGGGGGGCACCGTCCCCAGGGAGTATGCGCCTTCCTTCACGTGCACCAGCAGCTCTTCCCCAGGCTCAATGTCCTTGATGACTTTATAATAAATCTAGGACGGAAAAGCAGAGAGAAGGGGTGAGGGCAGCCGCCCTTGTAGCTCAGAGAGCCACTCTGGGCACACACAGGCGCTGCCGGCCACTCCACCTGCCTACTAATTGCTGCTAAGAGGTTCCCCTCTGGAACTTGGTAAAATATGCTCAGAAGGACTAGAGTCCCTTTTAATTTGTTTCATCCAGTTGTTGGATGTTGGTAAAGGGGATGCAAGTTGAAATCAGTGAGGATCAGCCCGAAAGTTCCCAGGCAGGGGGTGTCCCAGTGGGAAATATCAGGGAGGGTCTCTCTTTTCATCCGGGAGCAGCGCCCGGCTTGGTTCTCAGGCTCCTTTTCTCGGTGTGTAGACAACACACCCTTTGCTGCTGGGGGGGGTGTGGGCTTGGGGTCTAGAGGGGGTCGAGAGTGAATCTGCATGTTTTGAAAATGGCCATGAGCTCAGACGGAGGCTCTGTGGGCCAGGGCAGCAGGCTGGGAGTCTCACACGAGCGTGGACACCCTTTGCAAGGGAAGGCAGAGGGGCACGTGTGCCTGCAGCAAGCTCAGTGCCTAACAGCCATCGGGGGCTAGATGGGGGTGTCCCTGAGAACAGGGAGGGGCGCAGGGGGCTCAGGGCAGATACTGCAGCCTGGAGAAGCAGACTCTGAGGTCAAGGGGAGGTGAATTTGGAACATCCAGCCTCATTACTCCGAGGAGCTCTGTAGTTTGCCGACACACATCTGGAAAGGGGGCCGTCTGCCCTGGAGGTGTGGCCAAGATCTGGAAAACCCTACAGCTCAGAAGGGCACCAGGGCAGGCCCGTTTGGGATGGCACCCAGGGAATGGGCTCCAAAGGCCTGGGTGACTGTGGGAGAGGACTGGGGTCTTCCCTGCCTGGGACCCCCTGCCCTCTCTGGAGAGCAGTGACACAGGTCCTGGGTGGAGGGCAGGTCCCAACTCCTCACATGAGTGGGGCTGACACTAGGGATCTTGCATCTCAAGTCCAGAAATGTCAAACGGCCAATCATCTGCCTACCACCTTGGGTCTCTATCCAGATAACAGTAACCAAGGAGCCCGAAGGCCCAGCCGCAGGACCAACAAGGAGGCCAGAGAAAGACCAAGACGATTCCATCTGCCCCGGGAAATGCAGGGGTCCCAGCTTCTCCAGACTGATTCCACCGCCCCCCACCTCCGCCGGAGGCCCTCTAGCACTGCCCTCCTCATGGAAGACCTGGGGGTGAGGGATCAGGCCAGACTGTCCAGCAGCAGTGGGATGTGGCTCAGATACCCAGAGACTGAGCTGGGCACAGGCCCGCACACCACTCCTGCCTCTCCCCTCGTCCCGAGGCCCTGGGAAACATCCGGGAGGCTGAGCTTCCTCCTCTCTTGTCGGGCCCCTTTTCCCCTCCACAGGCCCTGTCCGTGTGGACTCCCTCACAAACCGTGGGTCCTGACTCACCCCGGCACAACAGCAGGGAACTCCCAAGATGACACACAAAGCCCCACTGGGTCCCCAGCCCTCGCCTGGATTTACTCCCAGGGCACCACACGCGGTACCAACAGAGTGCACAAACTTCCTCTCCCCTGCACTCGTTAATTTTATTGGCAATTGTTCTCAGATACATTGCGAATTAGTGACGAGGTTTTAAAATGGAGAGTAGAATCTGGACCTTACTAACTTTTGTAATTAAGCCAATTGTTAAGATCCCAGTTTTGTGTCATTTTATCTAAAAAAGGACAGTGGCCAAATAATTGTTTTACAAAAATCACACTTGAGCCCCTGCATTTCAAAATGGGGTCCAAAGTATATGGGACACTCCAACAAAGCCCAGGAAGCCCTGAGCGAGCGACTGGTTAGGCAGGTCATTCATCAGCAGGCTCAGCACCCTTCCACGGGCCAGCGCATCCGGCAAGTGCGTTCAGCGCCGCCTTGGCGCGCAGGCTGGGGCCGGGCTGGGGACAGAGGAGGGTCCGCGGCCGGCTTCCCTCGGGGCCCCGTTAGAGGGCAATGTGGGCCCGCCCGCCGCCGCGTCCCTCCCCGAGACCCCGCTCTGACCTGGCGTCCCGCTCCGTGCGTGCGCGGCTCCTGGGGCCGCGTCCTCCCTCTGGCCGGGCTGCTGGGCTCCCACTCCGGCCAGCCGGGGCTGGCAGGGGGGCAGGGGGGCGCTGGGCGCGGCCCGCCTCCCCTCTCCGCCTCCCTGTCCGACCCCCTCGGAGGGCCACCCGGCCTCCCGGGACCCCCCACCCTCCTCACCCCCTCCTCCGAGTGCCGCTGGCTCTCCTGGGACCCCCCACCCTGGCTCTCCGGGCTGCTGGACCTCCTGGAATCCCCTACCCGCGCTCCAGGGCCGCCGAGGTCCCCGCCCCCACACCCCTCCCAGCTTCAAGGGCTGCCCGACCTTGCTGGGACCCCTCTGCAGCCCCCACCCACACTCCCAGGCTGCCCAGCCTCCCTGGGACCCACGTTCCCGCTGCCGGCACAGCCCAGAGCCACGGAGCAGAGGGAGGGTCTAGTGCTCTTGGCCGTGGGGAGCAGTTTTGTGCACAGCAGGCACCCCCTCCCCAGTCCAGGACCACGAGACAGTCCTCCAGGCACCTGGCGGGGCTGGAGCGCAGGACACAAGGGCAGTGGCCTGGACTTTGAGCGGCAGATGGAATTAATCGCTATTAGTGCTAATTGCAGGGCCGGGCTGGGTGCGGGGTGGGGGTGTCCCCAACCTGCCTCCACCTGGAAGGGGGGCGGGAGGTGAACAAGAGTCGGCGTGAACTTTGCCGAACTCCGCGGGTGCCGAGGGCACGGAGGTGTGAGGGCGATTCTGGTGCACACAGAAGCCGGGTGTTTTTACGACTTGTTCCCAGTGGCACAAAGGCCTTATCAGCCAGACACGCGGAGAAAGTCACGGTTCCAGGTCTGCAGGCTCTGCCCACTTCCCGGGACAAAGGCCGGGGGACTGAGGCCTCTGGGGCGTTACAGATTGCGCATTTACTGAGCTGAGCCTGTAATCCATGATTCCCGAAGCCCCTGCAAAATTCCTGATGTGGGTTGGTAAGCTCCCTTCCACTCCGCGCCCCTTGGGGGGGGTGGGGGTCTGTTCCTCCAGGAGACAGAGCTCCTCCCCTCTGATGCCAGGTCAGCCTCCGCAGGGAAAGGAACGAGGTCCGTGCAGGGGACAGCACCCCACAGCCCTCCTCCCCCTCCCTCCCAAACAGCTGCAGCCCCCAGGCCCCTGAAACCCTGTCTCGGGGCTCCGGGTGTGCGGCTGGGCAAAGCCCAGCTGGAACCTTCCTTCTGGTTTCAGGATCTGAGAGCTAGGGAAGCCACAACAGCTGAGTTCACGGGAGCCAATCCACGTCTGCTCTTAAAGAGCTTTCATAGGAACGAGGCCAAACAGACCCCGTCTGAAGTCAGGTCCTTGTTTCAAAGTCAGCGGGTCCACCAAGTATGGGCGAACTGCACCAAACCCGGGTCCTCCGAGCGACAACTGTGCTCTCTTCCTCTTTGTCCCGACACGGGGAGGCGGCTCCTTGCAGGTGGACGGAGCTCGGGCACAAGTGAATGGCCATGTTCTCAACGCCAGGTCGGGAAATTGCCTGAGAAAAGTTGGATTTCACACAGGCCATGCTCATGCACACAGACCCTTGCTAAAGACGAACGTCACTGTCCCCTTAACAACATTCTTTCAGACCAAATAGTTCAAATTTAAAATGGCTGTCAGGTTGGTCCACTTCCTCGAATTTGTTTTTTAAATATCAAATCAACTCACAGGGATAGACACTGATCTTGAATATGGGGATTTAAGTTCCACGATTTTCATTCCTACTTAATTGTAGAACCTTGCAATTTAAATTAGGAACTCCACCCAAACTACCCTGGGGGGCAGTGAGGAGGCCGGGAGGGGGCGGCCACGCTCCCCCCGCCGCCCCCCCGCCGCCCCAGAGCAGATGCATTTCTCAGAAACATGAGGGTGGTCCAGCGCTCCCTGCTTGGACCAGTTTGAGAAACGTTCAAGGAGTGTCTCGGTAACATGGGCAAAGTGTCTTTCAGTGTGTTTGTCTGTCTGTCCTGGCTTTGGGAATCGTGCTGGAATTTGCGGAGACCCCCGGTGTGCTATGTGAGGGTCTGTTCACGAGAGACAAGCACGCAGCGAGCGGAATCAGAGTGGCCTGGCTGGAGGGAGGACGCCGGTCCTTGGGCTTCTTTGTCTCTCGGGGGCCCTTGAAGAGGCCCGTGCGGTCTCACCGCTTCGGAGACTCTGCAAATGCTCCTGTGAGTCTTCACTGCTTGCTCTCCCCAAACCGTGGGCCGTCTGTGCCTGGGAAAGGCTCTGGACACCGGGCCCTGAGGCTGCCTAGGGGCTTAAGCATTTGGAGTTTACAAAACCACGGAGTCCAGAGCAGGGACACGCAAACAGTTCCTTCCTCTGGGCGACAGAGGAGACGGCTCGGCATGCCTGGGGCTTGCCACGCTCCTGTCTTCCCCTGCGGAGCTGAGGCAATTGTGTCCATGTTTTCGCGGTCTTGCTGCTCTGTCCGGTCACCTTCCCAGCTGCACACACGTGGGGAAAAATCCGGCCCATTTCTCTCTGCCTTGGCGGTGCAGTTTGGACCTGGAGAGTGCATCTATGCACACACAGACGTTCCTGGCCGCTGTTAGAGGGACGTCTTCAGCCCTCTTAGGTGGCGTCTCCTAATAAAGTATTCCATTTGATGAATCCTGACAAGTGATCACAGCCCGTATTGTGATGGCACGGTTGAATTTATATCTTATTCTTTGCCGGAGAGAGAATCCGCTCTGAAGAGGGCGCCGGAAAATTCGGCAGCTTTCGGCCTCAAAGGCATTTGATATATACGTTGAGTCTTTTGTAAACCCGCCAAGAAACGCTACAATGAATCCCCTGCCCTTTTCATTTCAAAGGGGAAATTGTATCTAATTGTTTGGGGGCTACCATTGAAACCGGCCAATCCGTTTACAATGTTTAATTTAGAAAATCGTGGGGGACGAGAGCAGAGGGAGGAAG